AAAAAAAAAAAAAAAAAAAAAAAAAAGACAGTCTTAAATTTACAACAATGACCTCCTCGGGTTGCCTTCAAATGAGATATGGCATGGCGGTGAGAGGATTTAGGGTGCAAGGATCAGAGAACATTTGCTGGCTGTAGATAAACTGAACGCCACCTCACAAAATACAGGCCTGAGTTCAAATCCCCATGGAATCGAGTTTAATAGAATTGTTGCTCGCCAGCTTACTCTCTCCCTACCCTCACATCTCACTCCATTGCGCGGCTATGACCACCACCTCACGCTCTCTCGTTCTTCCCTGAGGTAAGTCAGCCGTGCCCACTCGGCTACATCAGCCATGGCATCAGCTTGTTCCCTTTCTTTCCCCCGACTGTCAATCCCCCGTACAATCACCCACACAGCATATTTTTTATCCTCCTGTCTCGTGCACACTGCTTCTCTTTTTGAGCAAACAAAATGGTCATTGTGACTCGGATGTCATTTGCACTGCAGTGCATTGCGCAAAATCCTCATTGTGATTCAGATGTCGTTCGCAAGCAGTGCAGCCCATTGACACGTACACATATCAACATACCCTGCTTATCCATTTGTCTCCTGTCATTTTCTGTTCTCTAGAACACCTAAGGAGAAAAGAAAAGGAAACGACATATGCTTGATTGGTTCTACAACCGAACTCGTTCATACAAACCCTAGTTCTCAGATGAAGTGAGCTCACAGCTTCTGGAAATATATACTTACATAGTACATACTACCTTTGTGAGCATGCCAATGAGAACACCTCCATGCCGTCAATAGTGTTACGGTGACCAAAGACTCGGCTCTCGGGTCAAACATTTCCACATATTCCCTCCCTTGGCACGCCACTTGCTCACCCCACTTGACTTGAATGTTGACAAGGGAGGGAATGTGGAGGGAAACATGTGCACACACATTCCCTCCCTTAGCACCCCACCCTCTCCCCCTATACTTTCCCTTCAATGTCGATAAGGGAGGGAAACATACACACCTATTCCCTCCTTTGGCACCCCACTCGCTCCCCCTTATCAGATGCTGTGACGATCAAACAGTGCAGCTCCCTCCTTATCAGGCACATTTCATTCATACGAAGCCCGTCACAGCAAGGTCTATAACAGATATCGCAAGTGCGCAAACTCGTTTGCACTCCGAAGAGACTAATCGACTCTGCAAAATTGCTTCACTAACCCCTCCTCCTCAACGCACAGGAGGCCACAGACGAACAGAGACTACAACAATAGTACAATCCCATGAAACAGACAATCAATCCACAGCCGAGAACAATCAACAATTGCTGTTAACCAGCACAGCTGAAAACAATACACAAGCCCTCTCTACCAACACAAGTACAAACCTTCAGCGATATGTATCTCAGTTCTATCAGCTCCCACAAGTTGAACCGGGAGCCACCGTCCATGACTCACTAATAGCTTCAGCAGTAATCACTACTATACCGAAAGAGCTCACACCTGCTCACCATCTCCTACCTTAATCGTAGCGCCCACATAACACACCTACTCCTACGAAACAATCTACCACCACTCCGCGGCACAAATCGAGAGCCAGGGATAACCAGAAAGAAAATCTGTTTGACACCCTCCGACAGAGTTGATGCCAAATGCAATGCGGCGGAATCAGATAACCTGCAAGCAACCCTGGCAAGGAAAATCAACAGAATCAAGGGTGTCTCTTCAAACTCAAGAGTGGGCAAAGAATGACAAAATCTGCAAACACCTCTCAACAGAAGGCAATCTCAAAGAGAAACTCGACAACAAATGGCGAAGAAAATACAGCGAGTCTAAAAGCGTCCCTAGAAAAAATCAGACCCAACTACGGGCGTACTCACACTAGGACCATCTTCAATGCATCTGACCACATTTAATGGCAGACCTGGATGTATCTGACAGCAATAACGTCCAAAAATAAGTGAAAAATAAAAAAGCCCTGGCGTGAGTATATGCTTTAAGTCGAGCACAAACAAACAGGAAAGAATCAGACAATCTGCAGGCACCCCTAGAAAGGAAAGATGTCCAGTGAATCAGAGAAACATACCCATTCTCGAAGATCGATCGGCAAAGAATCGAACAATTGGCAAACACCTCTCTGCAAAAAAAAAAACTTGCGCTGGCGCCTTCAAGATAGTCACAGGCTACTAGTAGCAAAACATAAGAGAAATCTGCACAGCTCGCAGAACACGAATGTTAGCAGCCAGTAGCACAGAGAGCCCCACAAACAAAAGAAGCGCCGATAAAACACGCGCACAACATGGCATTGCCACTGAATATGAAAGCTGAACCAGCTAACCAAGAGCAATCCTATTGGTAAAGGCATGCATGGATCACCCACCGCCTACACCACATCGCTCGATACATCGATCACCCTCGCTCAATGCAATCGATAACTCTCGCTCAGTGCATCGATCGCACACCTTCAACTTTTCTACGACAACCGTTCTAGCGGTAAGAAATGCACACCTGGGTGCCCGAAAATGCAGACGACAGCACGCAGATGCGCACCAACGCAGCCGCCGGCTATAGACAGACACTCTGACACAGACAATTCATGGCCCGATGAGCCTTGCCAGCACCGGAGCTGTACCTTTCCCCCAGACACCACCACATAAGCACAAGATCCATGTGCTCTGCAGCATACCACGACGGAGTCCTGTTGATGAAAAAAGCATTCAAAGAAGAGGAAACCAGGTCCAACTTTTTCAGGATACCGAGTCCCATCCCTTGAGCAGATGGAGCGGCAAACCGTGCAAAGGTACACGGGACACACCCGGAAGCGACATCTTTCCTCTTCGCAGAAATGTGTGGCAACCTCTATAAGTGGATTGTCCAGGCTGCACCAAAAAGCTTTCAGAAGAAACGCCTTCGGGCTACAGACAACTCAAACCATTTCCCAACTGTTGCATTGAACGCCAGTTCCCACAACGCGTAAGAGGCAGGACCACCACCAGCGTATGTCTTTCTCGCAAAAGGCTCCTGAAACATCAGCAGCAGAGCTGTTCTCAAGAAGAGTGTTCCGGGTGCTACCTCAGCAACATAAACTGGGTGGTTGCCCATTCAAATCCAGAGAATACACGAGCGCACTTCCCTCCCCGTAAATGGATAAGTCCATTTTTGCACACAGAGAATACACAAGCACACTTCCCTGGAAGCCAGTCCCAGCCATGGATTCTAAAGCTGGAACCAGAGTTGGGTTCCAAAGTCATGGGAAGGTGAGCCTATAGACGAGTTCAAAGAAATTTTGAAGCCAGGCAGGCAGCCGACTCCCAAGGGATTCAGCAGCTGGGCCTTGCACCCAGCTTCAGAGAATTTCTAAGCTGGGCCCAGATCCGTGTCCCGTGCCCCTTACGGGCTGGAGCTAGAGCTAAGTATCAAAGCAAGCATTCAGGAACCGAGTCCAGAGCTGTGCTGCAAATTCACGACCAGAAAAAGTAGCCAGGTACTAGCGGACGCTGCACACCGCCCCGGCACCTGTCCCACGCACATTCCCAAGTTCCCGGCCACCTTTTACCCGTGGCAACCGTACATGGCTACTATATCCTTGTACAGAAGATACCCGGACCACTTATTGGCATGGCTTCAGACCGAGACACACGCTCTGACAGGGCAGGGCTGGTCGAAGGATTTCAGACTCAAGCAGGCTATTTCAGGACTTCGGGGCCGTTCGTATGTACTGAAACCTCACTCTGGCATCAGTTATCAGAAATAGCTCACCCTACCTTGTCCATTCCGTATGTTGAAGACCACAGAGTTCGACACAAAACACAACGCTCTCTGGTTGCATGCAGCTTACACCAGTACCGAAGCCAAAAAATGACAGACTTCTGCGACTCGTAATGTTGGTTACAGACCGCACGTTCTGCACTTCTGTGCAGGAGTAAGCCGTGGGAGCATCCCTCTCCATGTGCCCTCTCCTCCAACCGAATAAGTGGACCACCCAGATGGTCATGACGGTCTGGCAAGCACATGCGCCCTCCTGTAACTCCCTAAATCCCAGGTCATCTTGTAGTGAATTGCATTCTCCAAATGCCAGACCATATCACCTTTCAACTTAGTCAACATACATCATGGACCAATCGTGGAATTTCCCTGTTCGCCATATCCCCACACGACAAGCTCACCCTCTCAGCCGAATGAAACTCGGCGCAGTTATGGTCAGCAGCTCATGGTAAAAACCTCCAAAATGTGGCCGCAATAGCAAAATGGCTACCTCGACCGATACATAGGTGGACGAAACTATACTTGAAGCTTCCTATTTGGGAACATCTTGAGCTCGCCGACTCCAGTCAGGGCTTCCAATGAATGTGTCTCCTGAATCTTATAGGAAAAGATTCAGCTTCCCATTTCACCGACCACAACCTTTTGCCCTTTCCACAAAGAACGACAACTCACACCTGCACTTCCCATTCTCCATAGTCGTCAGATGCATGCACATCACTGGTCAACTGGTCATCAAATCGTTTTCTTCATCCTCCAACGTATCCAGTACATGATCAAAGAATCCCCTCTCATGCATCCTGTCACGCTGCTCTTCACATGGATGATAATCCTGCATCCACATCATCCACATTGGAAGAGCTTCCCAATCCATACCGACTGAAATGTTCCACTCGGAATACCCATTCCCCTTTAGAGGCATCATACTTCACAAACTCAGCACCTTGCTGCTCAGTCTTCCTTTTCAGCTTCCTTTCAAACTTCTCCACGTCAGGCCCCTGCAGCACCTGTCCACTCTTCTTGTCAATGCATTTGACATTCAGAAGTGTAACCTCAGCAGGTTTGTTCAGCCCCTTGCCGACAGCAGGCTTCTGGCTTTCGTCCATGTACACCAACACCTCACAGTTATTCAACTGCACGATGCCCTCCAGGTCCAGTCCCCTAACATCTGTCTCGCCCAAGAACTTTAAAGACCCATAACCCCTGCGACCAACGACGAAGTCCTTCACGCAAGACATGTAGCCGGGATTGGCACGCTCCTTTGCCGCCAGTTCCTGAGCCTTCGGCTCTGTGTAGTACTCTGGATCTCGAAGTTTTGGCAACAATGCCTCGATATCTATCCCAGAGTCACCGCGAGAACTGCTTGCGGCCTCCCCTCGCCCACCACCAAAAAGAGGAGCATAGCCATTTCCATTAATCTCATCATTTGCCCCTAGACCATGCTTTGGGACTGCGCTTGTTCCATCCCCTCCCTTCTCACCAATAACGCCTTGACCACAGGATTGCAAATCAACCTGTGTGTGTCCCAGGCCATTCGCACAGGGTACCCCAGCCCTCGTGTGCGCTTCCTCTGCATCATACTCAACTAGGGCCAAGTTGGATACGTCATTCGCTGCTGGTGTGGCAACAGCCCGGCTTCTCAAACCCGCCATTCTTGATGGTGTTCCAAGAGATGTCGACTGATCTGGTTGTCGAATGAACAATGCTCGAGGATTTTCTCTGGGGACAAACTGCATGTCGGCACGTGGTGGGCTGGGTATGTCGTCTCCATCACCTAGGAAAGACACCCTTGGGCTGCCGCTCTGGGGCTGGTACCTCCGCGCATGCATTCTCACTCTTGAGCGTGGAGTAATGTGCCTTGGTGTAAGCAGAGATGTTCCATGTGACTGTGTTGGTTTCTCCAGCACTGGCATGCTGGCAATGCCAGCATGGCCGCTGGTGGGTGTCGTGATCCGTGACTTTCCCAAATTCACTTGCGGCAATGCTGGCATGTAGCCAAACGGACTTGCCACTGGGGGAAGAACGGCACCCATTTGCTGGCCTAGCATCCCTGCTTGCTGAGACTGCTGGAGCTGCTGTGCAGGTTGCTGAAACAGCAGCTGTGTTGTGCTTCCCAAGAACCCCGCTGTTGCCTGTGGCTGAGTATTAAAGCTGAAGCTTGCGTTCGTGGCTTGGGACGAGAACCCACCAGGCAGCGAGGGGGAAGAAGATGGTGTTGGCATGATCAATCCAGAGGAACCTGTTGTTTGATTAAAGCTGAAAACAGGGGATGTGTTGGCAAAAATATTTGTGCTGGCAGGGGTTGAGGATGTCGCAAAGGATGGAGATGCGGCTGGAAAGAGGGGCCTTCCAAAGAGAGGCGTGGAGGAAGCAGCTGGACCAGACACTCCACCTGAGGTCCCAAAGCAACTGTTCGTGGGTCCGAACATGTTCGATCCAAGAGCGCTGCCACTAGTTGCACCGAACAGATTCGTTGTGCTGAACCCCAGGGTGCTTGCTGGTGCAGAATGAAAGACTGGCTGCAATGCAAATGCTGGGCTTGATTGCTGTCCCCCTGTACCAAATCCGGAGATGTTGGAACCAAAAAGCGATGCAGATGAGGTAGACCCGAAGGCTGATGAAGAGGTCGCACCCAACACCGGGGTTGTTGATGATCCGAAAGCCAGGGTGGATGGATTTGAAGAAGGTGCCGTACCGAAGGGGGTTGGATTAGGCATGGTGCTCCCAATATTTGTCACACTGCCAAATGGATTGGACTGTGCGGGTGTTCCAAGGATTGAACTTGTTGGGCGTGCGGCCTGCCCAGGTGGTGCAGGCCCACCTTTGTCGTTCTGCTGGTAGTCCTCCCACCTTAGCTCCTCGTCGCTCTTGTTCTTGTAGGCTGGCATTGCGGAAATCGACATGAACTTTCCAGGCTGCCCTGCAGGTGAGTCGGGATCATTGGTGGCCTGATAGGGTATCGTTCGACTGCCTCTCTGTTGCTGTTGCCCAAATCCCCCAGCTGTTCCGAATGCTGTGGCACCAAAAGCAGAAGTGCTGGCAGATGTCTGCCCAGCACCGAACGCTGGTGTAGAAGAAGTCCCTACCCCAAATGCTGCTGTGGTCGTTGCTCCAAATAAAGGGGTTGAGGATGAACCAAACGCAGGTGCTGTCGCTGCCCCGAATGCAGGACCGGACGTACCAAACGCTGGTGTCGCAGTCGTGCCAAAGGCCGGTTGGCTGGCCTGAGTCTGGCCAAAAGTCGTGCTCCCAAACTGGTTAGGTTGGCCTGTTGATGCCCCTAGCCCACCAAACAGCGTTCCAGGCTTCTGTTGACCGAATGCATTCGCTGTGCCATAAGGTGATGCAGGAGTGGAACCAAAAGCCGGCATAGATGACCCAAAAGCAGGCGTAGACGAACCAAAAGCCGGCATAGACGACCCAAAAGCAGGTGTAGACGGCCCGAAAGCAGGCGTAGATGACGTCAAAGCTGGTGCAGAGGACCCAAAAGCTGGTGCAGAAGAACCGAAAGCTGGCATAGAGGAACCAAAAGCTGGTGTAGAGGAACCAAAGGCTGGCGTAGAGGAACCAAAGGCTGGCGTAGAGGAACCAAAGGTTGGCGTAGAGGAACCAACAGCAGGCGTAGAGTAACCAAAAGCCGGCATAGATGAGCCAAAAGCTGGCGTCGTTGCCCCGAATGCCGGCTGTGAAGCGGCACCAAACACACCAGTCGACGTTCCCCCAAATAATGTTGATTGACCAGAGGTTTGACCAGAGGTAGGACCAAATGGTTTTGCGGCAAAAGGATTTGCAGCCTGTGCAAAAGGATTTGCTGCAGTGCTTGTGGCAAACGCACTGGATGAGCTAGATATGCCCAAAGGGCTTGACGAAGACTGTCCCCCGAAGGGGTTCGACGATGCTCCGAACATTGTGATGGCCTTCCTGCTCTCACACAACACTCTGGAGCCTTCTACAAGTTATAGAGGAGAGGAGAGGAAAGGCCAGGGGAGAGAGTAGAATGCAGGAGGAGGAGAAGTAGGAAGAAAAAGGCAGACCGATGAATGGTGGGAGGTAGTTAAACTGCCTATTTCCGTCCCTCTGCTTCCAATAAAAAGAGGAGGGGTGACCCGGATTCCAAGACTCCACTAGCCTGCACAAATCCCTGCGCGATCTCCAGCCAACCTCCTACTACCGGCAGCTTAAGAAGACCGTTGCGTTGTTTCCCTTGCTGACGCAGCCAATTTCGCCTGAAAAGTCAGTGCCACTTGTTCCACCGCACTTTGCTTTTTCCCAATCACCTGCATCCAACCGACACCAAACACAGTTAAAGAGCATTCTACAGGAGAACATGATATGACAAAGAACAACAGCAGCTGAAAACTTTACTATGATAGACATTTGAGGCATTGGTTCATACATAGTGAGGCTTAAAGGAGTAAAATAGCTTCAGATGATCAAACTCTTGATTAGTGCTCAACTGCAGGGTTACAAATCCTCGACGCAAGACAAGACAAAGCTTTGCAATGCCTAACAGCAGGAATAACAACCGTAATTAAAAAAAAAAACAAAAAAAAAACAGCAAGTTGCCTGTCCCATCACCATGCCAAGCATTTTTTTTACGGGGAGATCTATTGACGGTCTTTTATTTTTTTTTTGCCTCTTAAAAGAGCAAGGGCGACCGCCTTGAAATAACATCTTTGAGCTGATCGGCCCCAGGTAAATTACTAAATTCGCAGTTATATTTACTCATCTCATTCCCTCCGAGTTCAAACTCCGGTCTGTATTTCAACAGTTCATGGGTGTACCAACTGAGTTGGTGGAGAAAGGAGACGGTATTGTTCTGAGCAAGGGAAGAATAGCCATTGATTAACCGTTTTGCAAGCACAACTGTGGCAGAGTATCACATTCCACAGGGAGCGTTACAAGTGCTCTGCTGGCCGAAGCAGTCTTATCATCTTTGCTTTTTTTTTTTTTTTTTTTTTTTTTTTTGTGAGACCATTTCTCGATTTCTGCATGTCATCCTTGCACAGGGGCCATGCTAATCTTCTCTGTGTTATTTCAATTCTAACAGATGTCAAATTTGGCTTCTGTATTATTTCAATTTTAACAGATGTCAAATTTGGCTTCGTTAAATCAACACTAACTCCGATTATGTTTTTTCCGAACCTGAATTTCACTTCTTTTTTTTTTTTTTTTTTTTGGCTTCTGTATTATTTCAATTTTAACAGATGTCAAATTTGGCTTCGTTAAATCACCACTACCTCCGATCATGTTTTTTTTGCCGAACCTGAATTTCACTGCGCACCAAGTTTTGCCGAGCCTGGGTCCCATTGTATTTTCATTTCCGGTACTCATGGCAGAGTTACATAGCCATCAAGATACATTCCACGAGGTGCTAGTGAGAGTGTGCCCTCAATGAAGGCGTCTTTACGGCGAAGAAGAAATGAAGAAAAAGAAGAGAATAAAAAAAAAACATCCCTTCTGCTGTGATCGCGGTCCCGATACAGAATGCTACAGTCCTTCCGTGGGAGTATGAGGTGATTGAGGCAGTTCGTCGCCCCGCATGGAATCCGCCCTGCCTCAGTGGCAGGGCACCATAAGGACACTAAAAGAAGAAATGAAAAGAAAAAGAACCAGCAATCACATTCCACACATACTGGCCATATACATTCTATGAGGCGCTAGAGAGACTGTGCCCTCCGTGAGAGCGTCTGCCCAATGAAGCAGTACTTCTGGTCAGATTTGAACCGGAAAGTCCAAGTGGCAATACACCCTTAGTCAATTCTAGTATGAAGAAGCAGTCAGAGCTTTCCAACAGGAAGAGTCTTACTCACATCAACCACCTTGTCATGGTTTTGTTTCATAAAAGCCGCCTTCCGCTGGCAGTAATTCACTCCATCATCAACACTTTTCTGCACAATGAAACAACACACGCATCAACTGTTACTCGGCCATGCATGATCTACATAAAGCACATACGCATCTCTCTCTCTCTCTCTCTCTCTCTCTCTCTCTCTCTCTCTCTCTCTCTCACAAACAACACACAAACACACACACACATGAACGCTGGGCAGAGTGTCGGGATCAACCTCCGGATGAGTCGGTGAAAGTCCAATGAAACAGTCTGGCACAGTCATACTTCTATTATGGACTTGCGTATAGCGAACATGACAAAACACATGCACTCATATGTCCACAACCACGCCCTCCCCCGCTTCTCCCTCCACCCTCTCCTGTCAAATTTGGCCGTCGTACCTGTGGGATTTGCCTCTTCCTAAACATGGACCATGTCGTCCTACCCTCGGCATATATCGGCCTTTCTACCTTTTTGTCGTGTCCCTTCTGTCATTGTTTCCACATGTGACGTAGGACTGCATTGTTGGTTTGTACAATTACCAAAGACAGAGGAAGAGAAACCGCCCAGGACACAAGGATGCCTGTCAATAACTGCGTCAATAACAGGCGTCGGATCCTGCAATGGCGGGAAGCAGCAGCATAAATCAATACGATGGGTCAGCCTGGCCCATGGCAACAGAAGCTGATGATGGATGACATGAATGAAAGGGGAGTCGGTCATGAAGTCGTATCTCTTCGAATACCGGCATCATAGAATAACGGTAAGAGAACACACCAGATACAACAAAGGAAGAAAAGTGCGAAAGATAAACTCTTGTTCGCGATGAAAAGGAGTACGGGGGCAGGGGAGGGGAAAGGGGAGAGCGAGAGAGAGAGAGGGAGAGGGAGAGAGGGGGAGAGGGAGAGAGAGAGAGGCGTGGAGAGCGAGAGAGAGAGAGAGGGAGGAAGGGAGGGAGGGAGGGAGGGAGGAAGAAAGAATGCGAGCCAACGAGAAAGAGAGAGAAAGAGGGAGGGAGAGAGAAAGAAAGCGGAACAGGAGAGAGAGAGAGAGGGAGGGAGAAAGGAGGGGGGAACCAAGGGCCGAGGAGAGGAGGGGAATGCAGGAGGGACAGCTTTTGTCAAGTCTACAAGTGTGAGAACGTGCAAAACGACCTGAAATAAGGAAAAAGGAGACCACGAACCTCGATGTAGTAGCCGGTACCGACATCCACAAGTACCTTCCCGACATTGGTGAGCGAGCCGGGAACGTATAGGGAGCTGGCCAAAGGAACAAGCACAGGCTTCCCTGCACAGTCACAGTGAAAGCGATGACTTTAGAGTAGGGGGGGTCTCGAGGTCATCCTCATCACACTTCAATTCCGGCACCATGCATGCATTTTCTGCTGCAATACCTATTTCTGGCTCCAAAAACGATTTCTTAGCACCAGGGCAGAGGGGGGGGAGGAATGGGGGGAAGGAGGGTGAGGAAGGGGAATCCCGATCATAGACTCTGCTCGTCTGCCTGCCACTTGTGCACTCGCTCAGGATGCATACATGCTACAAATATATAGCCTTTCAAACGCAACAAAAGAAACAACAAGTGTCCCGCACTGCAAGCAAGTCTTGCCTGCTGTACCTGATCCCTCAACCAATCACCATCCAGTCCATCATCATTTGCCATTCTTCGACTAATCAATACCAAGCTTAGTCATCACTATTAACATTCACAACAAGCCACTTTGGCAGTCCGAGGCTCTGATCTAAAAGCACCATATCACGGGTGTCATCAGTCAACCCATCATTTTGAGAACACCAAACGAAAGAGATGAAGCATGCCTTCTGCGCCACGCATCGCAAAGGACCTTTCCCTGAATCATCATCCCTCTCCGACACGTCATCAAAGCTATAAGCACGGACAAAAGGAAACTGCTGCCTCTGACAAAAAAGTATTTCTCCATCCTTCCGGAAAAAAACATCCGTTAATATCCGAACGATACCGAGAAGCAAGATTCGCATGACCCACGCGCAAGGATGACATGCATAAATCGAGATTGGG